AAAAAAAAAAACACGANNTTTTTTTTTTTTTTTTTTTTTTTTTTTTTTTTTGTTTTTTGTGTTTTGTGTTTGTGTGGGGGTGGTGAGTTCTTCTTTGTTTTGATAAGATGAACCGATCACGACCCTTGTTATCTATACATTGCTTCTCTTTCCTTCATTCCAAGGGGAATCTGAACCCGCACTTTAGGGGATAGATTTGGGTCTGATTGGTGTGTAATGTCAGTCTTTCTAGCCTTAATGAAGAACAGCTACAGTCATTCTCACCTTTTCAAAATCCCATACACCTGCCTTGACGTAGATGTCGTCTTTGAGCATGTTTTTAGCCTCCTCTGCGGACTCTGCGACCAAGATCATGACTGAGCCAGCAAAATCCATGTTTTCGCCTTCGTCATTCACAGGAACGTCATGAAGAATGGCACCGCCCATTTTCAGCTTGCCTCCATCAAGTGTAGGAGTCATGTCTTTGAAGTGTTGACTGTATTGCACATAGTCAGTTCAAGGTGATTTACTTGCATCGCCGAGGGAGTATGTACGTACGCTCTCACTTCAAGACGCCTCTTCCGCACCTCGGGGCCAGGCTTGTCCGGGAGAATGACCAGAAACTCATATGGGCGGCGAACCTCTGAAGTGGCCATTGTGCGGATAAAAGAAGGTCGCTGGAATTGAGCTCGGGAAAAGGGCGAAAGAAATCGACGGGTGGCAATCCTGGAGGCCATGGTGGGGGGTTAACAGAGGGTTTTATAGTATCCCGCAAAAAGCGAGAGAGATCTGTAAGCAAGAGAAAGGACAAGAGTAAGTATCGGTGTATTGAGAGGGGCTGACGTGCAGTATCGGCTCAAGGGGCTCAAGGAAAGGAAAGGCATAAGCAGTGGTCAACAGAGATGCATGTGGGATGGTTGCATTGCATTGCGGCGGGAGAGGGACAGAGGGCTGCGCGCTAATGTACAGCCGAGGGATTTGTCTTACTCTGTTTGAAGCTATGAAGAGCAAGCTCGGAATGCTAATTGGGTTATGATGCCTGGAAACAAACAATGGTGGAGAGAAGCTGTGTATACATGTGGTTTTAATACACGAGCGAGGCTGCGGCTTCAAGCGGCTTCCTATTGGCCTAAAGGACAGACTAGCCAACCAAGGCGCGCCCTTGATACTACGATTGACTGGTTTACAGGGTAAGTGCAGCGTGTATTAGTGATTGAAGTGTTATTTAGACATGGAGCTTTTGTTTCCAAACAAGCGGCGCTAGGAATTAACATGTCGAGACAACCCCTCTTTGTTGGGCACCAATCCGCACTGCCTATTTGTGGATAATTGGCTCGGCAGCGGGACAATACTAGGGACGCCCTGAATATGCTCTGCTCGTTCCACCGAGTTGAAGAGCCCCGAGACGACCAAGACCCTGATTTGATTTAGCTCAGAAAAGACACATATGCACCTATCATTAAGCAGTACAGCACTGTAGTTAGTACTTAAGCACAAGCTACCCCACAGACCCTTTTAGGGGTCATCTCAAGCAGGAAACAGTCCGAAACGAAACTCAGAATTTAGCTTGCGCTGATGTCGTCACGGATCTCGATTCGCCGTATTAGCCAAAACTAGCAGATTCAAAGATGAAAACAGCAAAACAAAGATGACTTCAAAATAACGCCACGAATGATCAACATCAACGCTGTAATACACATAGGATTCCCTGCATAGAGGGCTATGCAGAGCTACCGTTGTTGGTACTATTTGGTTATCGATAGCAACAGATCTATCTAGATTGGCTTGTTTGGTGTAGTGCCCTACGTCATAGAATATTCGAGGATGATCACTCATGTGCCTCCCGCAAGTTGAGCTCGCAAGAAGAAGAACCCCCAAGAATCATCATCATCATCACAACTACTCGCCGTATTTATGCTCAAGCAACGCCTACGAAGAAGCACATTACTATTTTCTTTGCCCACAACATAAAGAGAGCAACTCAAAGCTTCAATGGCATACCGAGCGCCCCACGATAGAGACCGCCGTGTCCACATCATCATCCACCAAGACGGCATATCCGTCTCCGTCCTCGGCATCTTCGAAGAGCTACAAGACGCCAACCGGGACTGTCTGTTCCAAGCTACACAAGCGGGCATCGAATTACTACAAGAGTCACCTACGCATGGCCCCGACAAGCATCACATCTCCCCACTTGAGCCCGCGCGGTGGGATACACCGGACGGCGTGTCGTGCTGGGTTGAGAGCCATACGGTGGAACCGAGTCGAGTTGCGGCGTCTAACCTGGAGACGCGCTGACATGGGGCTGATGACTGGGAATCGACACGACGAAACGAGAAGCACAATGCTGGTGAGAAAACAAAAAGGAAAGAAAAAGGATGGAAAAGGACATTCAAATCAAGTGGAAAGGATACAGGAGGAAGCGCATTGGTTACATTGAAATAGCGATATGCAGCAGCTTGGATAACAATTGATAGCACCTGAATTATACCCACTGTAGTCTACGTGGAGGTGGCGAATGGAGGGCACATAAGCCAGGAATATTCCTGCACAATGTACGATTAGCTGAACGTTATGTATGCACACGGTATTGCAGCATCTTATATGTCTGCCCCCCTTCTTTGTCTTAATGGCCTTTGACAATGGGACATGAAAATCCAATATATCCTTAATCTGATACTGTATACATCAATGTAGTTTTCCAGTAGCATCGTCTATAAGACAGCAGCTCCGCCCATTTCGCCGTAGCGCCGCCGAGCTTGAGCGGGAAGCGCTGAAGATTTGGCGGGGTACTCAGCACGTTGCAGGGCCCAACCGCCGCCAGCTAGCGCCGCAGCCCCCTGAAAGCTGCCCGCCCCAGTTGCCTGACCAACTCCAAGCTGCGCCCCAATAAAGTCGCAAACGCCGCGTGTGTCGTCTCTTCCCCCCCATCCTGCCGAAGACCATCTCACATCTGACCTTCTTTTTCCCCACGTTCCGGAACGGCCAGTCGCTGCATTTCCACTCGCGAGACGACGTTGCTGGAGCCTTGCCAGCGTTAGCCTCCCTCAGCCTTGGTGACCTTGTGCGTGCATGGCCAGACGCCGGCATTGCATGACTTGCGCCGCGATTCGAAACCATCGTCAGTGTCAGTGAGGCGTCTTTGTGCTTCTCCCGCCATGGCCGAGGTGGACACTGCGCCTACCTTTGGCGCAGAGCTCAAGGTGCGTGCGTGAGCTTGGTGATGGAAGGGCCGTGGCAGCTGCGGAAGACAGTACAGGGCAAGACGGTGACAAGCAGGAGACAGCAGCAGCCGGGGCTCACCCTGAAGCTGCTGGGAACCGCCATCATGGTACATCTTCTGCGCGCGATGCTGACCAATACTGCGATTTCTAGGACGGCTTCAAATCCGCCAACGCCTGGGTCAACAACGGAATCGCCTGGCTCGACGAAATTCAGCAGTTCTACCGCGAGCGAGCCGCCATCGAAAAGGAATACAGCGCAAAGCTCGATGCGCTAGCCAAGAAGTACTTTGAGAAGAAGAACAAGAAAATCTCCAACCTGAGCGTTGGCGACAACCCGACCTTGACGCCTGGCTCTCTTGAGAGGTGAGTCCCGAGAGATTCCGACAAGCAGAGATGGAGAGCGCGGCATATGTGTGGCGGATATGCGCTGTGCTGGGCGTGATATGACACGTTGTGAAGAGGCGCTGACAATGCTGCGCCAATAGTGCTTCCCTAACCACATGGTCTACTCAGCTCACCACCCTCGAATCTCGCGCCGTCGAGCACGATCGCTATGCGAGTAACCTTATCTCCCAGGTCGCTGAACCCCTAAAGTTCTACAACGCCCGATTCGACGAGCTGCGTAAGCGCCATTCCGAATATGCCGATAAGCTCGAAGCTGGCCGCGATGCCTGCTATGCCGATCTGCGCAAAGTCAAAGGCAAATACGACAACACATGCCAAGACCTCGAGAGCAAGCGCAAGAAGACCGAATCGCATGCCGACAAGGCCAAAGCACAGAGTGCTTACCAACAGCAGCTCTTTGACATGAACAACGCCAAAAACACCTACCTCATCGCCATCAACGTCACCAACAAGCAAAAGGAAAAATACTACCACGAATACATCCCAGAGGTCATGGACAGCTTGCAAGACTTGAATGAATTCAGAATCTTGAAGCTCAACTTTTTGTGGGACGTGGCAACTCGGCTGGAGTCTGCCATGCTCCAACAGAGCAACGGACTCATCGAGCACCAAGGCAAGGAAATCCAGAGGAACCTGCCCCATCTAGATTCCATGATGTATATGCGTCACAACATGGGCGCCTTTCACGAGCCGCCGGACAAGGTCTTCGAAGCGAGCCCTGTCTGGCACGATGACGACCTCATGATTGTGGATGAGACGGCCAAGATTTACCTACGCAACGTACTAACGAAATCCAAGTCTCAGCTAGGTGAGCTCCGGAGAGAGGTGGACAAGCAACGAAGAGAAGTCGAAACCGTTAAGCGGCTCAAGCAACGTGTCCGGGAGGGCAAAGAGAAGAAGGATGAAGTTGAAGTTATCCGCGCACTATTCGCTATGCAAGAAAGTCTCATTGCTGTGGACCAGAAGCGACTTACCGCTGAAGTTGAAACTACCACCATTACCTCTGCAGTTGGTGACGTTACGCTGGGGGCTAAAAATCACAACTTTAAGAGCCAAACCTTCAAGATACCAACCAACTGCGACTTGTGTGGAGATCGCATCTGGGGCTTGAGCGCAAAGGGATTTGACTGTCGAGACTGCGGTTACACATGCCACAGCAAGTGCGAGATGAAGGTGCCTGCGGACTGCCCTGGCGAGCTGAACAAGGAAGAGCGAAAGAAGATCAAGGCTGAGCGCCAGGCTGCCACTAACAGGCTTCTCGCACCTGACGCAGGATCCCCAGCGCACGTTTCAGAAGACAACCTCACGCGATCCAATACCATGAACTCGGCAAGCTCACAGTCATTACGACAGTCCGTCGTGTCTGCACCACAGACGCCATCAGAAGATACACCTTCGGAAACGCCACCCAAAGCGACCACTCCTGTTGCGGCAACCGCCAAAGCTGCTGCAGTTGCTGCAGTTGGTGGTGCGGCTCCCCCGAAGAGGAACAGAGTAATTGCACCTCCTCCCACGGCATATATTTCGCATGCACCAGCGGGTAGCATGAATGGCATTGTAGAAAAGGAAGAAAAGAAGGGCAAGATGCTTTATCAGTTCGATGCCGGTGGAGATGGAGAGCTCTCAGTGGCAGAAGGCAAAGAAGTGGTGGTTTTGGAAGCAGATGGTGAGTGCTGACGAATCTCCCTTCTCCTTTGAAAACTTTTGAAGACTAATATCTTTGTGCCTTATAGATGGTACTGGCTGGGTCAAGGTCCGCGATGGCTATAAGGAAGGTCTCGTACCAGCGACATACATCGATGTCAACATTGCGCCATCAACACCCGCAGCATCGGCCCGTCCTTCCTCTGTTTACTCCACGTCAACCACATCATCAATAGCCGCCGCTTCGAGGAAGAAGGGCCCTGCAGTGGCGCCCAAGCGAGGCGCCAAGAAGCTGCGATACGTAGAGGCCCTGTATGACTACGTGGCACAGAGCGAAGCAGAGCATTCCATGACGGAGGGCGAGCGTTTTGTGCTGATCAAGGATGATCCCGGTGACGGCTGGGCGGAAGTCGAAAAGGCTGGCGTGACAGCCAGTGTCCCAGCCAATTATATTCATGCTGTGTAGGTCATACGGCATGGGGTGAGATGGTAGGAGCTGAAATGCTGTGCTTTCTCCCCACCTTTTCCCCCCTCTTCATATTCAATCTCGTAGAGAGCCAAAAGGAGGAAGTTTTTTTACGGGTCATGTTTGAGGTTACTATGAGAAAGCAAAGAGTCGTCAGTCTTGAGAGAAGAAGAGTGATGAATTGGAACATGAAGAGAGAAAAAGCGGAGGAATCCAGAAAGAAAGAGCATGAGATAAATTAATAGAGGAGGAGGAGGAAAAAAGGAGACTTCATCATACGAGCCCGCAAAAGAAAATGCAATGATTGAGGAGGAGAAGGAAAAATTTGAGACCGCGCTGACGAGATCGTATTGCGTGTGTGGTATATAGAATGATGATGAGCAAATGGGAGGAAGAAAAACGTTTTGGTTTTCTCTATGGGATGATTTTTTGAAGCGTTTATATCTGATGATGGGTCGGGCCTTTTCGCTTTGGTGCTTTTGTATTTCTTTTTTTCTTCTCTTTTTTTGCATTGGGAGGAGTATGGCATGGAGGGGGGGAAAACAGAGATTGGAATATAAATTTTATACAAGTGAGATTTTTGTAAGCTTTGCGAGTCCATCACGCTGTGATCATTCGTGCGCTCGTTATATTAATTCCTTTTCCTAGTTCTTTGATAAGATCGCTATTGGGGGTTAAGTTGATAGCTTTAAAAGTTGGACTATCAATGTTAAATACCCAGTGTTCAAACCATCACGATTATTTGAAAATAGAAGCAAATCAAGTACAGAGAAGTGGGTATATTTGAATGGTTTGAACCACCGTGAAGAAAAGAGGTTCGTCTTTAGTGCCAAGTCCAGTACCACGTAGAGGTGAGTGAATCTAAGTTACATAAAAAGAAAAAGAAAAAGAAAAAGAGAAAACCAGCGCTGTATAACACTTATACACAGGATGAACCTCTCCTTCTTCCACGGTTCATCCTTATATCAAAGTCATGTCCATTTGCCTGCCCTTCCGGAGGATCTGTTTTCTCCGGCAAATACCCCAAACCTTTAGCCATTCTTTCAAATGCAGCGAAAGCGTAAAAACAAAACCTTGGGATATCGTGGATGCCCGTATTTCCCCTTGTCACCTTGTTCCTGATACCCTGTAAAACGCCTTGGGGGAATATATGTGTAAAAGATAATGTCTCTCTTCTAAGTAACAGAGACAACCTCCATAATTTTAAAAAATGATATGAAAAGAAACGAAAGGGGAGAAAAAAGATCCGTAAGCTCCTGATATGCGTTCACTGTATTGGTGGCAGTAGACCCCATTGATCGTCCCCGCAGATTGGGGGAAAACGACGAAGCAAAAGTGTTCGTGAAAAGGGGAAAAGGGGAAAAGGGGGAAAGGAGACTAGTCTATGCATTATATGTTTTGTCTTCGTGAGAGATGGGATATATATGTGTAAAAATGAGAAGAGGGGAAGAGTTGAGATGAAGGGGGTAAAAAATACAGAGCGGGGAGTTTGTGCTTTGTGAGTCTCATGGGATTTGTGTCGATATATCGTAGTCTAGTGTCTCAACTGACACATTTATGCCGGAGGAGCAAAGCGCATCGGATAGAGGTTCCTAAATCATCTGTGCCGTGGGGGCTCCGAGTCCATGAGGATTAAGGCTATGATTTAGCGCATCTTGGAGCTCCGCGATTTGCGCCATCATAGATAGAGAGTGTTCCTGTTGCTGGTCCACCTCGGACTTGAGCCTCTCGTTTTCCTCTCGTACGCGCTTGATCTCCTCGCGAAGATCAGAAAGCTCGTCCCCGCCTTGGCTACTCAGACGGCGTTTTCGCTTCGTCCCAGATTTCTCGCTTTCATTGTCGTCAGGAGAGGCGGCGGCCTCAACAGGAGATGCCGATGTATCCATGTTGGTATGTACTCGGCGAAGATGCTCATTAAGATTCTCCTGTCGAGAGAAGCCTTTGCCAGTATGTCGCTTGCAGTTGGGATGCGGACAGTTGACAGTGTTCTTAGGGCCGCCGTGCTTGCCATGAACCTCTCGCTCATGTCGGAGGAGGCCACCAGAGTATGTGAAGCCAGGAAGATTTTCACATCCTTCGGCCGGGCAGCGATAAGGGCGTTCGTGCTTGTCCATGTGCTTGCTACAGGGCGTATGAGGTTAGTTTTGAACTTGGCCGATGGTGGGGGAGGGGGACTGGGGATTCACGTACTTCCATTCGCATTTGCGCGAGAATGCACGAACTTCCTCTTTACAGTCATCTAGAGGACAATGAAATTTCCCATCCGATTTCTTGTGAACTTCGCGCTCTGGCTTGATGATTGGCTTTATTCGCGATGACGGAGAGGATATGTCGATTCGTGGGAGCTCTTTGTGTTCGTGCATGGAATCTGGTAGCGGCGGCGCATGTAGTGCAACCTGGAGTGGCGATGAGAACTCTGGTGTATCGAGATCTAATTGAGCTGCTTCTTGAACGACAGCATCGTCATCAGCTAGAATATCTCTTTCGTCCCCCATGACGCCTCTGTCATCCGGCAGCATGGAAGCTTCTGCGGTATAATGGCTGAGATGCTCGGCAACATCGGAGTCTGTGAAGCGTTGTTCGGCAGCATGGTCATGCTCGTCGCCTATGGGGGGATAGGCGCCCTCATGAATAAAGGATCGAGGCTCGTATGCGACGCTCATGGTGGCGTGTAAGTCGGAGATGTACCCTAGCTGGAGTTTTGGGTGACGACACAGCACTTCAAGCTTAACGATGTGCTGGAGACTCGGCGATGTTGACGCTCCAGGTGACGAGGGCGCAGAGGCTGCGCTTGCGGTGCGGCCTCCAGGGCAAAGAGCGGCAGCTGGCCGTTGGCTTGTGGTTTCTGCGGCCTGTGAACTGCAGCTCGGCCGGATGTCGATGCTGGTACTCTTAGTTCGAGGTCGGGATGATGGCCTGAAAATTCTGGTATGAATGTTTTGCACAAGGCCCTCTTCAGCTCCGCCCAGAGAGCAGGTCATTGGTCATTAGTCAGCCCCGCGATCACGTGGTGTGGCAGGGCACTTGTGGCAAGTTAGCTGACAGGGGAGCTGTGGCAGGGGAGCTGTGGCGAGGAGTTGTCGTGGCTGGCTGTCGTGGCTGAGCTTGTTTGGCTGTAAAGACTCCACTGTTGACTGCCTGTTTCTTTGAGCTCCCTCTTGAAGCTTCAATCTATCCATAAACCGTGAGACCGAATGCGCTACCTCGGCCCTTTAATAAGTCCCGAGCTCTTTTAGGCACCGAAGGTTGATGTCTCCAGAGTGACTGGGTTTAGATGAAAGATACTCAGCCCGCGGCCTCCATCTTGGTGCGCTCACCAAGCGAGTGACTCACTGGGAAATTCATGACGCACGCGGGGCAAACTATGCCAGAATGCGCTGCGCCCGGTAGAGAAATGCATAACGGCTCGAGAGATTTGTTGTTTGGTCGACCAGGCGGCAACCGAGGCACTGCTAGCTTTGGTATGGCACCTTTGTGTGAACCAGGGAGGTCCAATAGCTTGACATGACCTCCTTTGTGAATAGCAAGCGCCAGGCATATCTCGCCCCAGCTTTGATTGACAGCTGTATGCTTGCTTGCCTAGACAAAGAGAAGCCATTCACGCCGGAACGCCCTACTCAAAGCTTAGGGCCTCGTAAGATGAAACCCAGCTGGTCGTGTTCCTTGGCTGGCTGGCGCTAGGCTGGGAAAAGGATGAAGCTGGCCAACGAATGCTTCAGCTTCCAGGTGGCCGTCGGCCTGATTCATGAACAGGAGGCTGATGGATGGCTGCTAAAAGTCTGCCGAGGCCGAAGATCCTCGAGGCTTATGCAGGACTTTGAGAAAGCCTCTGGCATCCCATGTGCCCCTGGCATTCTCCCCACGTTATCCATAGCGGAAGGACGAATCCTACTGAGCGGCGATGCCTATTTGGCAAGCTGATGGTGGTCCTTCTTGGCTTAACCCATGTTGTACAGCCTGGAGATGGGAGTAATGAGAAATCCAGCCAACATCGTTCAGAGAGTAAGGCATGACCAACCAAGTCCTTTGGATGAGATTGCTACCCCCCTTTTCACCTTGCTCGTGGTCACTTGATATACACGAGATACTCCAGGCGGTGGGTACAAACGTTCCGCAAATAACTCTGTGCGTGCGTAACTATGACAAACTCCGTGTTAAATGCGGAAAATTGGAGGGCCATTTCCCGCATGACCTAGATAGAGATCTGGCAGTCGCCTTGTACGGAGGAACAGGCATCAGGACCAACTGTGTGAGGCGTAGACGGCAAAGTCAGTGAGAGGCTCTAGGCAAAGACAGCTTTATGAGACGTTGAGAATCTTTGGCTTGAGGCGGGTTGAATGTCTTTGAGAAAGAAATTCTGCCAGCAGAGCCGCAAAAACCGAGTGGATTGAAAACGAGGCTGTTGGAGATGATGACTTGAATATCAGGCATTTACGCATGCAGAACAGAAGGTGAGGCTGGCAGATTAGATCCTCAGGCAGACACGATGCAAGGGCACAGCAGCGGTGGGACAGAATCACGAGCTGGGATTTGCAGACGTGCACAGTGTGACTAGACGCATATGGTGATTACCTTGCACTGGAGCATCTACTGTAAATCACCGCATCAAAGCACTTAGACATCTATAAGACATAAGACGAGATTGTGAGCCGAACAGCAGTACTATTTTGAGACAAGAAAGCAAGCGAGCAGGTTGGCAGAAATAACAAAGCTGCAAGCTGAATCAGTGCTGCCCACAATTACGGAGCGCCCAATATTAGAGTGAGGATTAGAGCTGTATCCGCTATTACAGACCTGCAAACCATGAGCTTCTGAAGCGAGCCCCCATGGTACAAAACGCGAAATAAGATCCAGGGATTGAAATATATCTGATCGTTTTGAGATACACAAGGCCAATTACAATCTTTCTACAGCTTGACGTCCATACACATACTGTATGCTATTATTATGCGAGTATAGCGTCCTTTGAGCTGCATCCGATGCTGTGGACCCGCATGTCTTATCAAGATCCGATTGCCGAGCCACAGGAAGCTTCACCGAGCTTGGGAATGCGACAGCACCAATTACCTATTGCCATCATCTGATATCGCCCATGCAGCAGGATAGAGAGCCAAAAAAGCCTGTCTATCTCGTGCATAATATCTGATTAGACTGCCAATAGCTCATATCCATAGTCTGTGAAAAATTCCGGTCTCGGCCCTTGTATATCCTTGGCCCTGGCGCCGTCCCGTTAGAGCCCTCGGCTATCGTTGGAAACAGCGCAAAATTGTTGAGAGATGGTTAATCGCGGCAAGATCGAGTCACCCACTTTTTTTTCTAGCTCTGGATCCTTCTCCTCCAACGTTCTCTGATTTTTTTCTTGTGCTTCGTTTACTCACTTTTTCCAAGTTTGAAAACTCATATAGCTTCATTTATTCTAAGAGGCTCTGTTCTTATTTGAGCATATTTTGCGGCCTTTTCGTCTACAGAGCTCTTATCGTCGCGCCGGTCGGAAATAAGCCCCTCATTGCAGCGTTTGAGCGCCGTCCAAGCATGGCCTCTCAAGCAGCTCCGCCTGATGGCGATTCTAAAAACCCAAACACCACCGAAAGTGTGGTATTCTCTCCCTCGGCATCATCTCATGGTGGTCCCGAGAGTCGAGATGGGGGCGATCTCCGGCCGGCCGACTACGACAGCGAAACGGTGGAGAAGGTCTACAGGTATTGGGCTTTGCCTCATCTTCAGTCTTATATGGAATATTTGCCAGCTAACTCCGACTCCCTGCCAGAAAAATTGATCTCAGGATTATCCCTCGTCAGTATAAATCTACTTCTTAGCTCAGTCATGAGAAAAGCCTCGCTAATTTAACCCCAGCCTTCTGGATTCTGTACTTTCTTTGCTCAGCAATTCGTTCCAACATTGGCATTGCTCAGACCATGAACAGCGACGTGGGCCATGACTTGGAGACCGTCCTTGGGCTCACCCCCAAAGATGTATCTACCGCACTTGCGCTCTTCTATGTCTCCTACGTCATCTTTGATTTCCCATCAAATCTCATTATGAGCAAGCTCAGCCCCCGAGTCTGGATGGCTAGAATCGTCTTTGCCACTGGGGTTGTCGGGTCATGCTTCGCGGCTGTGCAGTCCCCTGCGAGCCTCAAACTGCTACGTTTCCTCCTGGGCTTGGTAATCGCTGGCATGTGGCCGGGCATGGCATTTTATCTGACCCTGTTTTATCCGCCATCTCGAACAGCCAAGCGAATTGGCATGTACTTCACCGCCTCGCAGGTGTCTGCGGCTGTGGTCGGCCTCGTCTCGGCGGGATTCCAACTCATGGATGGCGATGGAGGCTTGGTTGGCTTCAGGTGGATGTTTCTCATCTACGGGCTCGTTGCCGTCGTCTTGAGCTTTGTGCTGCTATGGTGGCTGCCTGACAGACCCCTGGCGCCAGGCGAGGAGAGGAAGCGTACCGGCCTGTTCAAGTGGCTTCCGGCCACCCCTCCAGTTCTCAAAGGTGAAGACGCCATAGTTCATTACTCTGAGCTCAGACGCGTGTATCATGCTCGTCCATGGGGCGTCAAGGATCTCTGCCTTGTGCTGCTTGACTGGCGGCTGTGGCCTCTATGCCTGATGTACTTTGGAGTAGTCGGAGTCGGAATCGGTACTCAGCTCTATGGATCTGTGATCATTGCCTCAATCCAACCACAGGCGAGCGACATTGTCGTTAGCTTACTCTTTGCTCCTATCTGGATTGTAAGTCTCTTGCATCTCTCCCCATCCACCTATTGCTCCTAACATTGTATCCTCTAGATGGACTTGATCGCTATCCTCCTGGTTACGCCACTTTCCGACCGCTTTCATCGCCTAAGGCCTTTCTTCTTCTCAGCAGCCGTCTGCATCCAGATCGCCGGCTTATTGACAACTACTTTTGCTGTTCAAAACGGGTGGGCTCGCTATGGAGGCCTTCTGATGGTGGGCTTCGGTTTAGGACCAACCGTCCCAATTTGCATGACGTGGACTTCGGAAATCTTCCAACGCCGGCATGGTGAAGTTGGTGTGGCAGCCGCAACAGCTCTCGTATCCGGCTTGGGAAACCTGGGCAGTGTCACCACCACATATGCTCTGTACACCGGGTGGCCTGAGGATGCCAAACCGGGGCCCCATCGATTCCGTAAGAGCAATCTTACAATGATTGGAATTCTCGGCATCAGCATCCTTAGCTCCCTGGTCATGCTGATCCTGCTAAAGGTCGTGGGAAATCCTCCTAGCTCCAGGCTTAACAACACTGGTTCTCCCAATGCGCTCGAGGATGGCGCAGCAAGACGAGAAGCTGCGCAGCGCGGCTTCGGGAAGCTTTCCCGGCGAACCCAAGAAGTTTAGATCGCCCGCGTGTGAGGCGTCATCACTCAAGGCAGCAACAGCAGCCAAGATTTGGCCTTCAACAATGATAACTTGGCACTGACGACGTCTTCACCTCCCCAAAATTACCATTCGTGCATGGGTAGTTCAACCTGCCATTTTGCTTTTTCTTTATTCGAGGGCCTTCTCCACTTATACCGGGCATCCTTGATATACACTCTTTTATTCTTCAGCCGCCTCTACGACCCCTCTTTATGGTCACACTCGCCTTTTCGCTTGAGGCAGCCACTGGTGGGTTGCTGCCTTGACCGTTAAGGTGACAACACCATCACGCTACTTTCCAGAGGGCAAAGCGAGATGAACTCGAGAAGGGCCTGGTTGTGGCAATGCTCTCGCGTTACCCTTCTAGGCTGTTTTCAAGGGATCTCGCAACGTATGCCTCGGCACCCGCAACATTACTTACATGTGCCGTCTCCTTCTTGTATGGAGAGGCTTGAGTGCGACACTTGTATTCTCTAATTCTTTTTGCATCCATTTTTTGCTTTTTATAGTTTATGATACCCCATCAGCGTTTAATACCCGCTGTCTAACGAGTGGAATGTGTACGGAATGAGAAATCTCGACAGCGACAGTGCTTCTACGCCATCGCTGGGACGGCGTGTTTGGACCGAGGCTCAACTACCGACGACAATGCTGTCGCGCTATCGTTGGAGAGCCTCGTGGGCAATTGCTCTTTTTAATGTTATTAAAGAAATATACATACGCCGTTTTTATAAAACAGGATAGAAACAATACAGACTGCAGTCTGATGAAACAGTCCATGGCTGTTAGTATTCAATCTCCGTTATCCCGGCCATACAACATGAGGCATCTTCAAGTGACGATTGAGCACATTGTGGTCTTAGGACGCAATAATGATCTTGTTGTATACCAAGTGATCCCTTTGAAGGGATCTAAAATTAGAGCCACGCTCACTATTGTAAGTAGAGCAGAAGGTGGGACGATGGCTTGGTCATATCTGCTCCAGGTAAGTTACTTATTAGAACCTCTCCTATAGTGAAGCATTTAGGGAGGAGGTAATGAGAGGTGTCTCAGCATGGCAACTCTCCCTTCCACGCGAAACGTTGAGAAGCCAGCAGACGACCATCTTCGGAGTAACGAAGACAATGCCCTTTTGTTTCAAACAATTGATCTGATCGACAGGGGTTTTGGGCAAAGTGGCACTCTGGACGTGGTTTTTTTTAGCCCCTTGCTTGACTCGTTCATGTTTCGTAATTTCATGTTGGCGCAGCAAGCATTCCAGTCTCAATCGCCATATGGCGTGTCTGGCTTGGGAGTGGTGCGTTGATGCAAGGGGCACCACATGGCACAGAATACATGATCGTATATTGATTCATCAAAGCTGGCACTACTCTCTGAGAAGTCAACTGAATATGGGCAAGTCGTGAACTGTTGTGTATCTCAGGTGTATAAAGCGATTGGCTCACAACTGGCGAGTACGAGAGGCCTGTGAGTAGGGCCAAGCATGCAGATCACTGCATGGACTAACAGCTATGCTGCTGGCTTTCTTCTAGAAAGACACTCTGCATATGAAGTTGTACAAGATGGCTTTGAGCAGCCCGTCTAGTTTCCTATTGAGAATCTCGCTTATAGAAAACTAGTACTTTTTTTTTTCTTGAGGCTCGGTCGATTGCAGGCTGTGATGAGTCGCGCCAAGATATGGCCTAAATTGAAGCTTAATGAGGGTAGGGTTACATCTGGCGGCACGCGACGTCTCTTGGACCATGACTGACTAAATTTTGAGCAGGCCATATCGTGACCTCGTTGCTAATGTTTTCGCGTTGGGCAAGCCTTTGAAGAGATCGGCAGTGGGGAGTCTAGACGCTGGGACCTGAGATCCCATGATGCGGAGCAAGGGTGGGGAGAGCTAGAAGACATGATGGAAGGGCGAGCTTTGTCCTAGACATATACAGGTGAAATAAGGGCAATGAAATTGGAAAACAAGCAGAAACAATAAAGTATCCAAGTCATCACAACAGAGTATTAGAGCCGAGCGAGGTCGCTGTCTAAAAGTGGCGGAAGAGAGATTCTTCCGTGAGCCGTACCTGTCTTGAGGCAACTTCATACCAGCAGAAGCTCTACCTCTTCACAACCTCTCATCGACGTTGGATTTCACACGCAGCTGCATTCGACAAATCAAGCTCATGCCGCGAAGAAGCCAGATCATACTAGGGCAAAAAGAGGAGTGTGATGGGTCACGTTTCGCGCTGAAGCCTGTCCTCGCGATATTTCTGTGTCCCTTGACAGCGACTCTCCCTACCTACGCCCGCAGTAGCGCTCTTGCTAGGACGATGCGACGCGATACGTCGGTGCGCATTTGCTGCTACTGCGGAGACCGTTTGCGGGGGATCGGATCCGCTGGAGACCAGTGAGACAGATTGCCCACTGAGGGGCCGTTCGGCGCTGCTAGCCGGTAGCATCGTGAGTGTGATGGGTAAGCTGATAGGTGGATGCTCTGGTCTTGGAGAGATACAATGTCTAATTGGCTTCAAGGATAGCAGCTGCTGCATACAACGTGGACGGGAAACCAATAATCTTCCAGAGCCGCATCATTATACCGAGCCGCGAGCTGCCCTGCCACTACCCACGGCTTTCCAGGAGACATTGATGTCGATACACGAAGCAAGTACCTACTGCTTCTCACAGCCGGCCACGCTACTAAACTTCCTCTCCATTGTCCACAGCAACACAGCTAGCTGGGGGCTAACAACCAGTTTTATCCACTAGGACGGCAAAGCACTGGGTAGCGAGCCTGCATCTTGGCAATTGCGAGAGATCATTGATCTTGTTTGGGTGCGGATTAGGCCCTTGTCTCATGACCCTAGGCCCCGTACCGAAAACTGCCGTTTGAGCGCAGATGCCGTGTATGACATCAAAGTCCATCCCCGCTCTTGCTCACACATAACTGCATGATCCCTCCTGGCCCTCGTTCTACCTGCCCGCTGCGGCGTATACTTCGTGAGCTGGAATGAGAACTTGCAGTTACATACATGTAAGTTGAGCCAAGCCAAGTGAAAGCATCACGCGCACTGCCAACGGAGATTGATGCTACATCCTCATGCCACCAAATGAGCCAAGCCCTGATCTCTCCCTGCCTTACCTTCACAGCAGGGTTAATTCTGCGGCTCGAGCTAATCACTTGCTCTTCTCTCTTATGATAGTTGACCATTTATCGTGGTTAGAACGTGGATTCTAGACCTTTTTCTAAGAATTGATTGGTTGTTGCGCCAAGGCTACGCTACACAGCATCGCAACGTCTCAAGCCGGCGAGGTTGCAGTTGGCCGTGCGTCGCCACTCTCACAAATACCCAGCGGTCATTTTATGAGCCAGCGTGGTGGTATTTCACGTTTGTTAGGAGTTAGCTTTGGTTTTACTATTAGAAATATTCTCCTAGAAGCTCTTTCAGGCCTCATTATTGTGGTCATTCGCATGCAGCTGCGTTTCAGCCAAGCTCACTCGGCTATATCGTCATAAGATCAACAACGGCCCACTCAGTGTGTCTCTCATCCCTTTGGTACGGCTCAAGAACACCCCGACTCAGTTATAAAATACTGACAGTGTGTCGGCTCCAGGTTTCGTGTATTTATGCTCTCTGCTGTCTGCATCCGTTTCCCCTCCTTTTCTTTTTAGATTCAGCCAGACATCATTCGGCTTCGAGTACCTGTCTGCGGCTTACATTCGACTATGAAGCTCTTGCGAGTCGCTACGGCGGCTGTCCTTGCTTTGGCAGGGCACGCGAACGCAGTTTCAACTTTTGAACCGGCACGCCCTCCTGCGGCTCCTCTGGCTGTTCGAGCTCCCTATCTCAACGTTTGGCTCAATGGTCCAAATGATGGAAATCCTAGCGGCTACCTCGCTGGCCAATGGCCTAGGTACTGGACGTGAGCACCACCGACTATGTTCCGCTCAATTTAAAAGAAGTTCGCGGATGCTAAAAACTAAATTACAGACAAGGAATTCAAGCATGGCAAGGCTTCATCAAGGTCGACGGAAAAGCCTACAACTGGATGGGAGAGGCTCCCGGCGCAAGCAATGTTAACCAACAGTCACTCAAATACACATCCACTAGAACGACCTTTACCATGAATGTGGGAGGGCTTGTCCAGATGGCTGCAGAGTTCTTCTCTCCAGTCTACCCAGATGATCTGAGAAGACAATCTGTCCCGTTTTCATACCTCAAAATCTCGGTTGTCTCCCTAGACGGGCGTTCACACAACGTTCAAATCTACTCCGATGTGTCAGGAGGTAAGTAGCCATACTTGTAGATTAAGAGTGCACAATTTAACTAGCCTATAGAATGGGCATCTGGAGAGAGCTCACAGATCATCCGATGGGAGCACCAAGAGGCAGACGGGGTGCTTTCCCACAAATTCTATCGCCAAAACCAAGACGCTTTTAAAGAGGCAAACGATCAGGCATCTTGGGGTAGCTGGTATTGGTCGACTGGTGATATTGTGAGTCGTTTAGATGTCTGCCGTACGGTTACCATTAGGAGCCAATGCTGACAATGCACTTTAGAGAGGTGTAACGTACAAGATTGGTCAGGATACAGAGGTCCGCGGCCAGTTCCTATCCAACGGTACACTTGACAATACCATTGACACTAACTATCGTGCCGTGAACGATCGATGGTAAGAGCTAGTGACTGCTAAAACGAGTTGAAAGGATATATGTAACTGAACCAAAACAATAGGCCCGTATTTGCCTTTTCACGCGACCTTGGTGCGGTCGGGAGAGGGGGCTCTGCATCTACTCTCTTCACTATTGGTATTGCGCAACAAGATGCCATATTATTCCAAGGCCAAGGTAGCTCTGCTGAGCAGGTACCGTCACTCTGGACAAGCTACTTTGATGAATCGGAACTTGTTCCTTTCTTCTACAAGGACTACAGCTACGCCAGCCAATATGCCACTAATCTCGACAACCGTATTGCGAAAGACTCTATCAAGGCTGGTGGAGACGATTATCTCACCATTACCAGTCTTGCCGTCCGACAGGCATTTGGAGCCCTCCAGTACACAGGCACTCCAGATAACGTCAGAGTGTTTCTTAAAGAAATCAGCTCCAACAGCGATATCCAAACGGTTGATGTAATCTTTCCTACGTGGCCAATCATGCTGTATCTTGATCCAAATCTCATCAAATACACCCTATCACCCCTTCTCGAGAACCAAGAAAGCGGCCACTACCCGAATAAATATGCGATTCACGACCTGGGCAGATTCCCTCAAGCTCTTGGCTACCCACAAGGCAACGACGAGGCTATGCCCCTAGAAGAGTGCGGCAATATGATTATCATGATGCTGTCTTACGCTCAGAAAACAGGAGACATAGACTATCTCAACGAGCATTGGCAGCTCATGGTGCAGTGGGCAGAGTATTTGATTGAAGATGCCAAGATCCCAGCAAACCAATTGTCTACGGATGATTTCGCAGGCCATCTTGCGTAAGTTGACTATATCTTGAGAGTGCAGCCAACCAAGTATATACTTACCCTGAGACAATAGGAACCAAACCAACCTCGCCATTAAAGGTATAATTGCTCTGCAGGCCATGTCGAAAATAGCCGACCAAACTGGTCACAGTTACCTATCTGGAAAGTACTCAAGCATTGCTAAAGATTATCTCAATTTCTGGTCTCGCCACGGTATCAACCGAGCGTCTGTCCCTAATCACAGCGTACTGCAATATGATTCAGGAGCCACTTATGGTGAGTTTTGTAGCTCCCTGCTACAGCTTTGGTCTTTGCTAACAAGCAACCTCTACAAGGATTGTTATACAACATTTACCCTGACAAAGCTCTTGGACTGAACTTTATCCCCCAGTCTGTCTACGATATGCAAAGCGATTTTTACAAGAGCAAAGCCAATAAATACGGAGTTGTTCTCGATACGCGCGGCACACTCACCAAGACTGACTGGGAACTGTTCGCTGCAGCAGTAGCCAAGCCCGACACAAAGGCCATGTTCATCTCCTTGATTGCCAAGTGGATCAACGAGACTCCAACGTGGCGGGCATTTACCGACTTGTACGACACGAACACGGGAGAATATCCCGGTAACCAGTTTACCGCCCGGCCGGTTGTGGGCGGTGTGTTTGCATTGTTGGCGCTGCCATGAACAGCCTCTTTTGTTTTTTTTTTAGCGAGGGGCCGGTGTCATGAGCACCGCAGATTTTTCTTCCTTTTCCATTTCTTTTCCTATTTTGGATATGTGGATTTATGGGTGACAGGCATGGGGATGAGTAAGAACCAGGGGGAATACGATCTTGCGTTTAACTAAATTAGCTGAGAAAGAATATACAAAGTACTGTGGCATTTTTGCTAATGACGATGGCGATTCTCAGATGTGAAAGGACTGAATACAGCATCTAATCATGCATTGCTTATGACTTACAGGTGCGTGTTTGGAACCACGTAATGTACACGGATTTGTATCAAGTCACTGAGCGGCCGCAGACGTGTTTATTACCGTCCAAATAGCCCACGTGAAGGGACTAGACGCTGCTAAGACGCCAAGAGAGAAACAAAAGAAGCATCGTGTAAAATACGCACAGGATGGATGGGGGCCAAAGGAGAGGCATTTCGCCATATTGTCGGTGAGCTGCCGGAGGGGTGGGCTTGGTCTGAAGTGGTTCGAGATCTGCGAGTTGTGTGCCTGGTGATCGATCCAGCGCCCAATGGGGTTGCCCGGTTGCAATCTGCATGCCAGCGAGGCCCAGCGGCAGAGCATGAATGTGGCTTGTTTTGGGACGATGGTTGATGGTTGTCTCAGGAGCTGCAGATTGATGGAGCCGGCGGCAGGATGGATTACGACGCTTTTTGCTGCTAATGAGGATTTGGGTTTGATTCGGTTAGGGGAGCATGAATAGCTTCAATGTATTGCGAGCAGCAATAGCAGCAATAGCAGCAACAGTCTCCAGTCTTGATCACGTTATGATGCAACGGTGATGATGAGTGCAGCAGCGCTGAGCGCCAGCCCTGGCTCTAACTCAGAGGAGACCGCCGTGGCCTTGGGGAATGCGGGGAGTGGGTTCCGAGCGCAGTGCCCCTCTCAGGCGACGCTAGGCGCGCCTTAGGGGAGTGGCTAGCAGGGCCTGTAGCGGTTGACGGGCCCCAGCTCAGCGTAGCAGCACAGCACAGCACAGCACAGCACAGCTCCGTGCTCGACCGCCCATTGACAGCACGGAGTATTTGCTTCGGCTCCCGGAAAGCCAGCAGTTGCCGGCCCCTTAAGCCAATTGAGACTTGAACTGCTGCTGCTGCTGCTGCTACAAATACGGCCCGGCGCCTGTCTGGACCGGCTGCGCTGCTCCAGGAACACATGACTGACTCTGCCCAGGCGGACTCACAATTCCCAACAACTCGCTTCTTGGTGCTTCGATGGGCTCCCTTACGATGGCTTCATCGACAATTGCTGTCGCCTCATGCTAAAGTCACATTCCGTTTTTGCCGTGTGTTTGTTTGCTTTGCGCCGTTGTCTGTTCACTCTCCCCAACAACCCCAGTCTTTTCTCTTGATTTCCCGCCATTGTCTCTTTTAAGGCACCTTACTCAGTCTTTCTGTTTTCTGTTCTGAAAATAGCAAAAGAAGGCCGTCAGATCCTTGAATCATGGCTCGTTTCGTCGATCTTGATGACGAGGACGGCCAGGCGCAGTCAATGGCTGCTTGGCCGGCGGGCAACCCTCTGGCGCTGCCCGAGCACGGATCGGCCGTGACTATGGCGGTTGGGGATGGAGATCGATCGCGCAGGTTTCCCAGCAGGAAGAGCACCATGACGGAAAAGTCGCAGCAGAATGGAGAAGAGGCGGCGGCTCACAGTGCTATGGAGGAGGCGTTTCAGTGTTATCCGTATGACTACCACCTCTTGATCCCATTACAGAGAACAAAAATCTAACTATATGTTTTCTATCTAGCATCGTCGTCGGCATTATTTCCCACATTGATCTCAACACCCTCGACTCATTGGCCCGTGCGAGCCGCTTCATCCACGATGGCCTGATCCAATATCGAGCGAGCCTCATGGGCGCAACGCTGCGCTGCTCTCGAGAGGGCGTCGCGATCGACCCAGAGCAGACGCTGCGATACCGCGCCAGGGCGACAGACTGGAATTACATGCAAGACGACAACAACTACAACGGCAAGGCGGGCAGCTGCGCTCGCGACATGGTGGCCGAGTGCAGGAGATGCGCCGACATTATCTGCAGGGTGAGCTTCTCACGGTCATATTATTGAGCAAATTGCTGACTTTGTTTTGTTTGAATGCCTTAGAATTGTGCTATAAAGCCTCCTCTTATTGCTGCTCTGCGCGAGCGACACCGCCGGCTCTGTGTCACTTGCGTCAAAGCTCCCATTGCCGCGCTCGCCGTGCCGGCATTGGATACATCTCTGCCTCTGGATTCAGATGCCGTGCAGCGCGCAATCTGCCAGTGCGACACAGAGGGTGTCTGGTTATGTCAGCCTTGCGGGCATAGCATTCGCAATGCCGACCACGATTATAAAGCGTATGTGTTTTGCTTCTTGCTCAGCGCGAGTTTTTTTTTTTTTTTTGGTAGCTAACACAACGGACGATGTAGCATCTGGCGCTGGCGTACCAAGTACGGAGGCTTTACAGGCATCGGAGACGGCGACCGCGGCGTCATCTGCGGCCGCGAAGAAGCCTGCCTTGCTGCTCGCGAGCGCGAAAACGAAATCGACTGCGATGCCGAAGACGCCCGCGGCAGCACCCTGGCTCCGTGGTCGACCGGGTCCTCGTCCGGCACGCCGAGCCCGGGCCCACAACACGCCGGCACCACACCCCCCGGCGCCCCCGCCGGGTTTCCCTTTCCTTCAAACGGCACCATCGAGTCCATCATTGACGAGATCCGCCATCAGCGGACGCCCTCGCCGCAGCTGGGGCCGGGCTACGAGAGACACGAGATCGAGGGCATTGGCGGCATCGTCAAGAGGAAGCTCGTCCGCATGGTACGCGTGGGGGCCTGCGTGCCCGAGTGGGAGGACGAAAAGGGCAGCAACAGCAAGATTCTGGCCCGGGAGGTAAATGGCGCGGCGCGGAGCTGGTGTGGCTGGTGCTGGAGAGTTATTCCTGGCGAGAAGGATAAGAGACAGTGTGCGAAATGAATACATGGAGACATGGGTTGAATGACCTAGACGGCTGAAAATGGTCTTGATGATGGCGTTCCTTGTTATTTCCTAATGTCTCTCCCCTCCTTCTACTCTTTTATACAGGCGTTTTCTAGTGGGAAGATTTCAGAGCAGCAGTTTCTGGTCGAGTGAACACGGATGCAGAGAGTCACGACTTTTACTATATAATATTCCTCAACGATAATGATAGTACCTCCTACACTAGAGACGAAATCTCACTCAAAACTTTTTATATATCATGTATGATGCATGTCTCGTCATGAATTTGTTCTCTGAAGCTTTGTATATCGTACACCACGCTCAGTTCCCTTTTTATCCTTTTCATGCCCACCTCCCTCTATGTATACCAACGTTGCCCTCATTTTACATTCATCCACATGTCCGTCGATTCACGCTTTCTTTATACACAACAATACCCTCTCATCCTTTATTTCTTCTCATCTTCCAGCCCCATCACTCATGCAAATGCCATCCTTATAACTCTCCCCGGTACAGCATCTCCGCCCTCCTCTTCCGGTCCTCCCTCGCCTGCGTCCTCTTCGGCCCCCACCTCTCCATCTTCCTCTCCATCTTCGCCTTCAACCACTCCAAATGCTCCGCCGGCGCCGGCGCAGCCATCTGCACAAAGACAGTCGAGCACTCAAACTTCCTCGCCAGCTTCTGCACGCTCCACGTCAGCGGATCCTCGGCGCGCAGGCGGCGCATCTCCTCAATGTGCTCCTTGGTGAGGTTGTATTTCGGCTGGCGGCGCTTGTAGCGCATCTCCGGGGGCAAATCGCTCTCTGCCGTCACGCTGCTGCCGTTGTAGGCGGTGGGGTCGCTGCCGCTGCTGCGGAGGCGCAGGATGGCCTGGCGGCGGGGGTCGTTGCGCGGGAGGAAGATGAAGGGCGTGTGCTCGGGCGAGGCCTCTGATGATGGCGGGTTGTAGATGATTGAGTCTGTTGCGGCGGAAGAGGTGCGCGATGGGAGGAAGGAGTCGTGAGGGGCGATTTTGAGGGCGCGCTTGGTGCGGCTGGTGGTTTTGTGGCCACGGGAGGGTATTAGAGGGAGAGGAGCGGCGATGGCTTTTGAGGAGGTGAGGAGGCGGAGGGGGGTGAGCAGCTGCGATGCTGGGCGGACGAAGAGGGTGCGCAGATCCATTGTTTATGTCTTTGTTGATTTCTTTTTTTTGCGGCTTTGGTGGAATTGGTGATGCGTATGTGTGGTGTTGAAAGTTCTCTGAAGGGTCGCCAGTGGTGGGATTTATGCCAATTGGGCGATGAAAGATTCGATGTTATGATTTTAAACAGGTTTGAGACCGAGTCTATATTTCGTTGAAGAAGGCTAACTGGCGCCCAGCAGTCGGATTGGGGAGCTGGCGTTTGGATTCCCCCTCGTCGGCGTAAACTGATAGCTGCTGCTTGCTTGGATGTCTAGATTGAAGGTTTTTGCAAAACGAACGATATCAAATTATGTAAGCAGTGATTATCTAAGCTTTTCGTAGCGACATGTGAGAAAATGTCACGTGGGGCTGCGTTCAAGATGGCTTTGATACATGGAGAAGAGTGTTATTAGAACAAGGATTCTTATTTCAAAAAAAAAAAAAAAAAAACTACTCCATTGTTACAATTCGAAAATTGGAGCTGTTGACGTTCAATTTTGAAACTGTCCATGAGTGAAACTGGCCTCACATGTTCTTGAACTCAATCAAGCAAAGTCGAATCTGGCAATTGGCTTACTAAGATAAGTCGGCATCGTTACGGTCTAGAGCTGAGCTGCCAAATTTTAGCACATCATCTGAGCAGTCCCAGCCATCGCCATGTGCTACAGGCGTGCGACTCTTTGAATCCTTCTTCGATCGAGTCTAGAGCGCCCCTAAACAAAGGGCTTGAGCCATTTGCCGATCCAGTCAGCGCCAGCAACCTCCACGATGTCCAAGTATGCCCGTTCTCATCACGGACCGGGCAAACTACTTTTCGTGATCGAGGGACCTTGCATAGTGCCATGTGACGTCGACAGCCTCAGCGGATGGCTAGTGCAGCGGTTCCGGCGTCATCTCATGGAGAGATTTGCCTGCTTTTGGTGTTGCTGAGAGACGAGCTTAAGTGTGTGAGAAGAAGAGGCAGTACTTGATATGGATTTCCCCGTCTTTTCTGCTCTCGCTGCGGGGGAGCCCAAAGATCGACGACGATGAAGAATCCAAGGCCATAGAGAACCCGAAAAGTGGAAATCGAGATCAACGAGGCTGGATACGGGACGAGCGGTGACAGAACAATTGGGTCACGATAGACGCTAGGTTTGTCTTGATAGCCCCGAATAGCTTGTACAAGTACGACGCATGATGCGCGAATGCATACCCTACTGCCAGGGTTTCGCAGCGATGGCCCTTGTTTCGCTGTATATTTTTCTTGCTCACTTACACTAACTTGACCACCAACCTCCCTTTAGACAAATATCTAGGTGTGCTATGACTGTTCTGGCGTATCAGTAGCTCCTCGTTATTAGTGTGTAACCAATTATGCGGGAGAAAAAGAGGTGCGCTTTTGTAGCGGCTTCCGGGATGGTACGTTGGTCCTTGCGGAAGGCGGAAGAGGAGGGGCGAGCCATCATCACGAGGACCGAAAAAAAAAAAATAGTATTAAAAAAAGAAAAGAAAGACAAAGAGAATCCAAGCTCGGACTTTTGTTGCATTGATGCATAATGGAGACCGTGATGCAAGTTGATGCAAGTGATGCGCCGGGCTGAAGCAGATTCGGAAACAGGGTCCTTTTGTTCATGCTGCGATGTCTTGCGATGACATGCTTTTGATCAACAGCGACGAGGCCATGTGAGGTCCGCAAGCGCAGGCAGCAGATATGATATGAACCAATTTTTACTAGACATTGGAGCACACATTCGTAAAGTCGGTAGGAGAAGAGGGGGGGATTTATGAAATGCCAGACACATTGATGTACCATTACGTAGGTAGGAGTTTGGCAGCGCAGCTCATCCCTTGTTTTACACGGGCCGCCGAAAAAAAAAGAGGGGGTTCGATGTCGAAGCTGAGCCATGTAAGTCGTCCAAGCTGATAAAAGGATATAAGCGAGTTTCTCTTCAATACCACCCACCATACACTTTGACTGGCAGTATCAACACCATCTAAGACCTCATCTTCTCCCACATTCAGGGGAGACGAGGTGGTATGGCAATATGGGCCGCCGGGCGAACCGTTAGACACGCTGGTGCTGCGAGAACGATAGTAGCAGCAGTACATATTACTGACGAGATGCTAATGAGAAGATGATTTTAGTGAATCACATGGTAACACTTGTGGCAGCCTAGCGAGTCAAAGTGAAGCCGAATAGGGCACGGATGTGCGACGTTTGGGTCGCCGAATTCAGACACGGACGGCCCAATCTCGCAGTTTGCCACGGGCGAGTCGAGTCTGAGCATCTTTCATTAATCAAGCGAGTGTACATGCGTAGTTCGTGAAGTAGTAAACAAGAAGCGAAGAAAAAACTTGGATAAAAAGGCCTCAAGGACCAATCCGGAATACGTGTGTTCAAGCAACGATGTACGTGATGCCCCCGGTTTGGTGTGTGCGGACCAAAAGCGGGAGCCTCGCATCATTGTGCATTACCGCCGGGGTTGCTGGCTTTTCGTTTCTTGTGGTAGCACTCCGCTGTATTGAAGGAGAGGAGGAGGGGGCTTCAGGTACCGCGGCCTTCAGCGGGCATCAGATTAATACAGCAGGGCCAGAACCGGTAGCAGCATGTACCCGCACCGATGCGAGGTACGCCAGGAGGTACGTGCAGCAGCGGGTGAGCCGCGCCCGCAGACGGAGCGGTACAGTGTACCTGGCGTCGTCGCGGCGTGGCTGACGGGCCACGCGGTACCCAGTACCGGCGGCGCAGGCAAGTACGTCACAGCGGCGACGGCCCAGGCCGGCTTGTCTCTAAGAAGTCGCTCCGGCGGTGCCTGGAACCTGAAGTGACCGTCTGGCAACCTTTGGAGCGTCCCCTCATCACAAAACTCATCACAATCCTTCCGTCATCTGCGACTGTTCTGGTTTCGCGGCCTCCGTATTGCGATTTGTTCATTTTCTCATCGCATCGCACTTTGGCCTTTTTCAAACTCTCTTCAGACTCTTTTTCATATCCTTTTTTTCGCGCCCCTTGGAGCGGATGAGTGAGACGAATCGTTTCGTTTGCCCTTGATACTACTAGTAGCACTCAACTGCTATTTGTTTCTATTGCTGGTGCTAGCATCTCTAGCATCCGCCTAGTATAAAGCATAACAGCTCATCATCAGCTACTACATACCTCGCCCTCACTTACAGCCCGCATCCAACCGGCCATCTAGCGCTGGCTCAACAATCTATTCTGCGTCTTTTATACCGTCAAAAGCCAAGCCAAGCCAACAAACGTCCTCGCCCATTCGCATCACACGCCGCGCTCCGCCCAGCTACTGCAGTCTCTTCGCAGCATCTCGCCGTCTTCAAGCCTTATTAGTGCCCCCCAAAAAAAGGCACCAGAAACCACTGGTTTGGCGCCTGTCACACCAGAAGCTCCCTCTTCGCGCTCTTCAGCGGGTCCCGCTCGTGTCATCTGGGCAGCCCCCCCAGCAGGTACGACGTGCGACGCAGCTTCTGCTTCACCAATATTGGTCGCCACCCCCGTCGAGTTTCTGCCTCCCCTTCAGCAGGGCAGCGACGAATGGGTGGCCCTTGGATCGCTTAGCCGTCCGAGTCCTGCGAGTCGATAAAAACTCTTGCGCTGCCTCTGCTCTCTTTTATCTGCTCCATCCCATCTCGTCTCATCTCCGTCTCCATCTCTCTCTGTCCTGTCCTTTCCTTTCCGCTGCTTTCTTTGTTCCACCGATCATCGTCGCCCTCCTGTCGATCGCAGCACCGACCCTCCTTTTGTCTGCGCTGCGTCTGCGTGCGTCTGCCACACATTGACGGCTGGTAGATGCAACGACATTGAGCCAGTTTGCAGTCCCGTTGTTTATCGCGATCGATCCCGTATCCATCCATCACGCCGGCAACAGCCCTATCAGCAGCGAGCCAATCCAGCTGCGCGCCTGCTTCCACCATGAGCCTCGCCTCCCCAGCCCAAATCACTCCCACCGCCATTCCCGGCGACCGACGCGGCACCATGGCCGACGAGAGGAGTAGCGGCGGCGACTCCACGCCCCGGGCCATCGACAGCGCTTCATCCGACAGGCAGACAGAGCAGAGCAAGCGGGAGAGCAAAGGCAAGAAGCGCGGCCTGTTTGGCTTTGGCAAGAAGAAGGCGGAGGCTCAGTCCAAGGCTGGTCCTGGAACAGGGAGCCCATATGCTTCCCAAGAGCCGTCAAAAACGGCGGCCACGCGCTCTGCCGCGCGATCAACCGCCTCGCCAATTCAGCTTGGCCATGGCGACCATCCGTTTGCCCCTTCTTCTCCTAGTACCCGTGCATTCTCCGGCTCTCCGAGAATAGCGTCACCGGCGACCTCCCAGATATTCGAACGTGATGTGCAGGACCACAGTCTCCTGAAGTCCTCATCTCCAGCCATCCCGAGCCACATCCAGACCGAGAACCACATCCCTCCCGTGTTGGATGATGCGTCAGAAGCCATCACCAACAACAAGCTGGATCCCGACAGCGTCGAGATTGTCACTCACGCTTCCCACCAGCCCGCCTCGGTAGCTGTCCCCGGCACAAGCGCCAGCCACACACCGCATGATCAAGGCCCAAGTGACTGGGCTTCGGAGCTCGCCTCGTTTGCGAACCGCATAGGATTTCCGGCCGATAGCGCCTCCAACTACGGCTCTCTCGACTCTGCCGATGTCAGACGCCTCTCCTTCATCTCGTTTGCCGATGTCGTCCAAGCTGAACACAGTGGCCACTATCTGCCTTCCATGTCATCCCGAGACAATATGCACATTGTCGGCCTCACGTCTCTTTCCGCATCAGCCATGAACCGATCGCCGTCACCAATTCGATCGCCAGTCTCTAGCCAGGGACCTGGAACCAGCCCGCCCACGAGCAACCCCGGCAGTATAAAAGGTTTGGATATGAGCCCAACGCGAAAACCGATTGGCAGCCCTTCCAGCGCAAACTATACTCTGACGACACCGGGAGAGCTGAATATCGAGACAATGAGCCAGGCGCTGAAACGCAGTGCAAGCAGAGACTTTAACAGCAGCGTTCGCAGCAACCCTCAGAGTCCGGTGTAAGGTGTGGGTTCGCGATGAACGAAGACAAAAGCAACCCATACAGATAGCTTTTGTGATTTTACAAAGATTCCCGAAGTGAACATAGATGTTCACACTGCGATTTTACAATTTACCCCCTTTTTTTTTCGATTCTACTTTTATCGTGTCTAATTCCTCTTGTCGATTTACACAAGTAGGCTTCTATTCTTATTTACTTTATTTGATTCGATATTGCTAGCTACCAGCATGCGATACCACACTTGGACAATTAAGGGATGCTAGGAGTTGGAAGAGATTTTAAATTCAGCCGAGACCACGTGGTGTCTCTGCTTATTTTCGACTCGATTTGCGCTTTTGTTACGTTTTTCCCTCCTCTTGCTTGAGGAGGACAGGATGTTGCTCCTGTCATTTACACAAACGAGAAAAGAAGAGATGATTATTGACTGTTATGGGATGAATTCTGATTACTTCTTCTTTTTCTATTTCTTTTTCTTTTTTAAGGCGAGCTTGGTGCCGGGAGAGTGGGACAACTTGTTTTATATGTCGATTACTTGAATGATTTATACTATGAAGAGAAGTGAGCAAGAATATATATTTCAATTGCCTCGAGCTAATGATTCAATTGTGCTTTATTCCGTGTTGCCGATACACTATTTATTACCTTGATAACACAAGGTGTCTTGACCATTTAAGGCACCTTGACCATCTAAGACATCTTGATCATAGGAGGCATCTTGACGAAAAGAGCAAGAGATCCGAACCATTGCGTATGCTCACGAGCGGGACCTTGCACCCGAGCAAGTGGATTGCCGAGACAACGATTGATCCATGTTCCATCTTTTTTTCTCTATTCTATTCTATTCTCCTGCATGCTGCAAGTTGGTGTTGCCGAGGGCGCTCCCTATCCACAGCGGCAGGTCGTTGTTCGTTCTACTGTGTTATCACGCATGCACCTCGAGTCATTACAAGCATACAAGTCAAGGTTTTGCCCCCTTGGCCCAAATCTCACTACAGTGCCGAGGGTTCCATGACGGGCTGGATTGTGGCTTTTACTATACATTGTAATGCAATGATACTTGTATATGTATATATATGTACATGCCTTATATGACCTGCGAACTGTGAGAGTCAGTTGAGTGCGTCTGGGCGTCTGCAGGTGTCTAGATTAGGCCATTTGTTGTGGAAACATTTGCTAGGAGATTTTTCACAACTTTTACAAGTACTGCTCCCTGGCGTTGACTGACGGGGGCTGTGACCTTGAGAAAAGAAGATATCCAGGTACCAATTGGACATCAAGTTACATTCAATAGATGCGTAAAGATCATTGCATGTTGGAGCATGCCTGTTTCAAATTTGAAAACTATGTTTGTCTTTTTGTGCGTGGTGTTTCTGTTTCAATTTACCTTCTTCAAGTAGTATCTCTTAATGGAGACTGGGGGGGTCTCGTGTATCGGAGTGGTTTCAGATTTAGAGAATTTGTTCTTATGATTGTGGGTATTACTATCTACACAGTCTACCATGTTCTATATTTGGATATGGAAGGCGATGTAAAAACCTTTGTCCCTTTTTGTTCTGTCTTTTGTTTGAAGGGATCCTTTTCATTGTGCCGCTACAAGGCAGATTGGACGTACTGTATGCATTACAAATACAGAATACAGCAAAGCTCCCCTTAATTCAAGGTAATTTGGTGTAGTGTTACACCCAATTAAAGCCAAAGCGACACATCCAATTCAAGAAATCAGCGATTGACCTATCAGTTTCTGACAAGAAGGGATAAAAAAAAGAGAATTGAACGAACCCAATTCTGATTACTCTTCTTTCCCCCCCTTTTTTTTGTTGTCTCATCACTTTTCACATTGTCTCTGATCATCGGTTCGGGGAAAAAAAATGTATGTATTGATACGGGAAAAGTGAGAACTTAATAAAACGAACCCTTGCGTTCGATGCTACGATGCAGTTGAAGCTTT